AAAAAAGTAATAATAAAATGAAAATAAAGAAAAACGAAAACTGAATCATTCTTTACGGAATACATCTTTGGACTAAAGCGTTGCGTGACCAACGAAGCTCGTCAGAACAGGCTCAAAAGAGACTTTTTTAATCACTAACATAATTTTATCATGAGACCCTTCTTGGAGTGAAAACATCTTAATTATTTCGACGCTTTCGACAGACAGTGCAGCGCTGTTTCGTTGGAATAACAAAACTGACCACAAGCATCTATTTTCCTCACACAGTATTTCACCATTTCAATATCTTTTTTTTTTTTAAAAAGGAAAAAAAAAAAGAAAGAACAACGCCAATCATCTCCCGGGGAGAGGTATTAAAAATAATTTCAATCTTTGTACTCTTCCACCGAACATCTTCTAGACATTTCAAGAGCGAGCCATTGGCGTCCTAAATCATTCATTCGACCACAGCAAAAGAAAAAAAAACTCAATCCTTGCGTTTTTCTGACGGAAAAAAATTAGCGAGGAACGAATTTTTGAAATCAAATAAATGAACACAAAGCGGAGAAGACAAGACAACAGGAATATTAAAATTATTACTTGATGAAGAACACACCGAACTAATCTACACATGTACGTTACAATAGCTTTAGTTTAGCAGACAAGTAATAATCCTCCAACTTGATCATGTGAAAAACAAACTTAGGGATTTATAATTAATACCTCTGCGGCAAACCTATGCATAAAGTTTACAATTCCTGGAAAAAAGGGTCCCCGATGCATAGATTCACGAAACAAGCAACACGTTACGAATCTATTGTGTTTGCAGATAGAATATTTACACTCACCGGAGTTTTCAGATTCTATAGGAACTGGAATGTGACTCGAAGAAGACATGGCACTGCTTCCCGCAGACTCTTCAGCCGTACTAGATGAATCGATGACCTCAACTGGATAAACTGAAGCGTTCTCTGCGAAAACAATGACACTCTTTGTGACAAGCGACATGTTCAAGAAAGCTTAATCAACATTAGTAGATCATTAACTACAAACCAAAAGTTATTGATACGATAATAACCGCGAGAGCACATTGGGTTTCAGTTCTATTGCCAGCAAAAGCTTTCTTGTGGTTGAGGCATTAATTAGACAGTTCAATAAAGCCGTGTAATGATGATCATCCTTCTATTCAAATACTCTATTATAACACTTGTAATAGCTCTGTATGCGTTATTTCCCCTGAGAACTAAACGTACAGGCAGTTATACAATAGCAGGGATGGGTGGGAAAATTGAAGCGATGAAGATGTTATTTCAGTGTGTCATTTCATCTAAGAGTGTAATTCGTCCAACAATTTTTCTTTTTTTCGAAAAATGATAACCTTTAACATAACTTACCACGATCGTTTGTAGAATTCGTCCACTGTTTTACCCAACTTGGAAGGGGGGCTGGCGATAGTGCCTATCAAGTTTAAACAGAATTATGTTTAACTTATATCCATTAACAAAATCATTATTATCTGTACAATAATTGACCGCAGAATGTCCAGGATAGTAGTGAGAAATATTTGGAGTCATACGTCCAAGGCCACAATTATATTTTCGTTTCACACGAGAAAAAACATCAATTTTACTAAGGACCAAATTTCCTTAAGAAGTCGAGTAGTTAGGGTAAAAATAAGAAGAAAAAATATATAAAACAGCACGACAAAAGTAAAAAAAAACCATTGACTTTCAATTATCAAATTGCGCTCTCTTTACTTCTGCACAATACTGTGGTTAAAAAAAAAGGAAAAAGATATATAAACGTCATGACAAGTCGTGGAGCCTCTAAGCCCTGGGTCGAACTAGTTTGCAGGCAACACAGCGGTCAAACGTCAAGCATGCGCAAGTGATACAATTTGGCCAGCCGCGCAAAATTTCAAGAGGAGAACATAAGAACGACCGCTGTCACCCAAAATATGCGCTGTATTCCTGTTCATTGGCGCTGCCACACTAGCGGCGAAGCCCGCATGCTTCATGGCAGTGGCGATGCGAGCTGCGAGGGGTTTGCGAGGGATCTGGCATGGAAATGAGACCTCTCGTAGAGCTCTAACTTCGTTCCCTGACTCAATTCTCGCAGGATTTGCCGGTCGTGCCTAAACTCTAATGAGAGTTTGCTCTCAAGCTAGCAACGAACTAACCTCTTGTCTATCGGATTCACCGAGAGTCACCTCCGTCAGACCAAACACACCAATGGAGGAAGGGGAAGCGACTGCTGCTAATCCCGATCGACGTGAAGGGTGTGAGGTCGGTTCGTACTCAGACTCACTGGTATCACTTGAATGTTTTCTGGAGCCTGTACAGAACAGAAAAAGTAATTATTACACATCCACAACCAATCTTTAAACCAATTCTCCCTCCCCCTCTTTCAGTACAACCCTCTCCCCCTTAGAAGTGTACTTCTGTTAAGTGTACACTGAAAAGTTCTGTTCCACCTTTACATCAATGTGCATATTCTCCTTAATGTTCTCTAGATATTTCCTCCTAAGGTGCTGACAAGAAGATATATTCCCATATTCACTTGACCTTTTTGTTTGAATCAGGGATGACATTGTAAGAAGTCAAAACGTTAATTCCAAAAAGTTGAAATAAATTTTCATTTTTTTACCGCAGAACGGCACAAGTGAGAAAAGCAAGAAGTTCTAACATGGAATAATATGTCAGTTCTAAGAGAGGGAAGAAATGTTTTCGTGCGTGAAAAATATGGAATTCAGCATGATAACTGATTTGGGCGTTAGGTTATGGCCACTGTCATACAAACGTCGGTAAGTACGAAAACGTAATAGCTTCATTTCTGGTCTTTGCGCGATGATATGAGATGTATTCAGTTAAAATTTTCTGAAGGCGTATGTACTGTTTAGAGAGTGTACTTTCTTTCTGAGAGGATTAATTTTTCCCCAATTTAAGAGAAGAGTCGAAAACGTTGTGAAAACCTCACCTGGTTCTTAGGAGGGAGGTGGGGGAAGGTGTGAGAATCTCCCACCCAACCCTTTTTCCTCTCCCCCCTCCCGTTCTTTATAGCAAGGCAATGAAGATAAATAAACACACCCAGCCACACCCGCCTTCTTAGTAACCCTCGCCCCTCCTCACCTTCCTAAACTCTCTGGAGAAAAAACGAAAAGGAAGAGAATCTATACAAACATAGAAACACTAATTTACCTGACAATGCTTTTCCGTTCTTTGCCGGGACATCAGTGGAAACAATTTTCTTTTTAACTTTACTGGTAGGTTTTTTCCTTGCAATTCTCTCTTGCTTCTCTGATGAACCCTTCCGTGAAGCATCCGGGGATGCTATTTTACCTTTATCGCTTTTCAGACTTACAGGCCTTTCTGGAAGTTCATCATAGTCCGGTATGTAAGGAACTTCGTAAGAAGACCCGAGTCTAGGGTGCACTTCGCTTCCGTCACCCGAAGAATTCTCCACCGAAGACGTCGAATCAAGCTCTCCCGGCTCGTGAAGCGCATTTGGTAATTGCCAGTCTCTACTGGTAGAATTTTCAAACACGGGAGATAACTGCTCGTTATGACCCGGCCCTGGTAGAGAAGACCTCTTCTGAAAGACAACAAATTCCTCTCGTTGCTTCATTGCCTTGTCCAGCTCGGGGTTTTTAGAAGTCCTTGTTGTGACAATCCGTGCTCTGGACTCAGATAATACCGATACAGTCCCAATGCTGTGCCTCCTTTGCGCCATTTCCAGCGCGTCTTTCTTAGAGAGTTTCTTCTTTCTAAGAGCAAGAGGCTGTTGATCGTCGCCGCTCTCCAGAATTGTGGCAGTGTTTGGGTAATTGTAGATCTCGTCGTCTGATGAGCCCCAGCCCCACCACGGAGGCTGTCCATACAAGGGACTGCCCTTCACTAACATGTCATGTTTCTCAGCAGGGGCTGTGTAACAAAAGGGAAAATAGTGAGGAGAGAGCTCCTTCAAGTTTGAAGCATTAGCCGGCAAGAGGTCTGGCGCCAATAATTATTAGCGCCAGACCTCAATGCCTCAATCTTTCTAGCAAGCGAATAAAGGCTCGCGCCAGAAACACCAACAATGAGGCCTGTCCGCAGGCTAACACATCCCCGGCTAAGATTACAAACGCAGAAATAGATGAAAAATGGAACAACCTGATTTTCCATTATAAAAAATTCATTACAAAAAAATCTATAGTGCATTAATAGGGAACCTGAAATCGGGCCATTTGTTATCAGCACACGATTATTACAGATTCTCGCAGCTACAGATATTGAATCCAATGTCGTCAATGATGATCACAGCCAGAAAAAGAAATCAAAACAATTGTCTACTCACCAGATAAGGGCCTTTGTATTCTCGGTCTGACAAGAAAAAAAAACGCATTTTCATTACTATCATAAACAATATAAAAAAAATAAATAAACAAAGCAATTAATGCAGCTACGTAGGGCTACAAGGATCAATTTCTTCTCTCACAATTAAATTAACAAAACTAAGTACATGTGCAGAAAGTCATATTAAGTGTACAGTTCCAACTTTAAAAAATAATATGTGAATCACATAACATATGACCTGTGGATAATAAGTAGCAGCCAACGTGTGGCCATACCCACCCCCCCCCAAGGTGAAACGGAGGGGAGGAGGGGGGAGGGTAGCGTAGGCTAAGTAAGTAGCAAGCTGTTCCGACTAGTAACGCATTTCCAGGAAGTGTATCCTAAGAAAAGAATTCACTTCTCTACGCAGGCCTTCGAGTACAACTCTTTCAAAGTCGCCATCTTGCGACCTAAAATCATAAAAGTGTTGTCGGTTATGAAAACCTGGTCGTCGGACAAAAACAAAAAGTTCATGCAAATATTTGAGGCTGAATTTTCGGACAACCAGTAGCATTTTTTAAATAAGAGAACGAAGGAGCATCATAACAGTGTTGTATTTAAACCCAATTAAAACCAAGAGCGACCAGCATCTAATTTCTCCTTACAGTAATACTTCTGTATCATTTGTTAAGATCATGATAATAAAGGAAATGATCGCCAACCTAAGAGGCTTTGGTTGTTAAAGGAATTCTCCTTGTCATTACCGAGGGAAATATATAGGAACTGGGAGGAGAATATGGAGCGGATACTAGGATATAAAGGGACACCTTTCGTAAAAAAAAAAACCCATACAGCTCGCTATATGACCGTTGTACACAGATGGCCACATTCACGACTTTCGCTGCGAATTAAGTTGCCAGAGTTTGTTTCTACCCGCCATCGCGACAAATAAGGGTCGCAATTAAGAACGCTGGGCTTAGAGGCCTGATATCCCCTCTCTCAGATACAGCTTATATTAAAAAAGCCCTTAACCTGAAGCAAGGCAAATATTCTAATGGCTTGAGAAAGATGTTTCTCATCTTGTCACAAGCGTGGTACAAAGAAAAAATTCTGAGTTCCCATGAGGAATCGAACTTCAGACCTTCGGATTCCGTGCTCTGATGCTCTACCACTGAGCCACAGAGACTCTATGATGGGTAAGACCCATTACGAAGTTCATATATGACACGCGTCCTGTATACTGCTAGGATCAGCAATGTCGATAGCATCATATTTTGTATATAGATTAGGAAAAATGGTTAGTTTTAAGCTCGGAAAGGAAATAGAGAAAGATGTTCTACTGGTTTTTCCCTAAAATAGCTTGCTATGTTTTCAAAACTGACCTGACTTGAAATCCTGTTACTGCTGCCGGCCCGTGGGCCCAGTTTGTATGTGACCCCATCTGATGATGAACAAATCTTCCCATAGGGGCACCACCATGGGGGGAGTGGACTGGTGACCTATGTCCAGCGCATGACGGGCAATGACACATCACAGGGGGTGGGTGGTGATACATTGGCGTCATGTAAGGATAGTGGGGGTAGGGAGGGTGGTATTGAGAGTGAGGAGAGTGGGGCGAGTGAGGCGAAGGAACACCCTGTGGAAAAAAAAACAACTGTTAAAACAACAAAAATTAATAGAACATCTGCTATGAGATTGAGAGTCATCTGTTTATACAAAGATGGTGTGTAATTGTTAAGTTTCCCAAATCAACCAACCATTTGCAGGGCTTCGAAAAAGAAATCAGACCTACCGGTAATTATCACCTTTTAGGATTGCTAATAAGTCAGCAAGCATTTTCTATGCAAAGCGAGTATCACTAACAATAGAAGTGCTAATATATCATGAAATAACATTTAAGTAATTGACGGGGCACAATAGAAATTCCGCACCCACAAATAAAAGATAGCCATCCATCATCATTGCAGAAAAACAAGGGCAAAACAATCTTGGGCTTTGCCAAGTACAAAAGTAAACGAGTAGTTTGCCGGAAAGGGAAACACTCTTACCTATACCCCAGAACACCAAATATGTTTGTTTGTCTGGTTGTTGGCATGCAAAACCCTACATCATTACCCTATACCCTCCAATTCATCCCATTGTTGAGCACCCTGTCCTATAATATTTCTAGAGTTTCTGACCATAATTATTATCATAAGGTAAACAGAATTAATCAATAATCAAAATAAATCAATACAATTTTAACTTACATGGTACACAAGAACATCTTGGTCTGGGGTTCCAGAACGACAACCATCCTCATCTGAATTAGTTTGCTGAGCAGCTGATTGGATAGAGAGTTTCCTCTCGGTAGGGGGCTGAAAAAAAAGAAACACATTTCAATTAATTCCAATGGCCAGCCCAACTGGTCATATTGAAAGGGGAAAAGAAAAAGGCAGAACATGCCATTAGAGATTTATTTTTAATAAATCAGAGCTTTTTTCCACCTCCCATACTGTTTCCATTGAATGTTCATTTTCGTCAAGTTGCTGTCTCTCATAATGTTTGCCATCACTGAGAACTGAGTGCCCATTTCTGTAAGGAAGTGGCTCCACACGAAAGGTATTTGAGTGTGTACATGATTAAGGAAAATATTTTAGGATTATTTCAAAGGCAACCACAGTATAAATTCTGCTCAACAGATAAATAATAATTTGGATTTTAGTGACAGGACTCCAATGAACACAAATTATGAGACATGAGGACCATGACACTGTAATAAGCAATTACTGAATAGGGTTGGGCATGATATCATGAGTTATTGATGCCGAGATCTGAGTTATCTGCCTAAACAGAAAGCTGAGACAAATAACACAAGCACTAGGTTTGTTAATTCATATCATACAAAAAACTGAATTCACCAATATTTTTATTGTACATTTTTTAAACAATCTGCAAAAGAAGACTTTTCTTTCTGAGTTCACAAAAGTGTTGCGTAATATTTTTTTAACTTAAATGTATCAAAGATATTATATATTTCTCAGAAGCTAAAAATAAAACAACTAATTACAAAGTCTTTTTGAATTCATGGAAGGTGAAAATAGGAAAATTTAAAAAACTGAATAATTTGATAGCAAATGGATTACATGCTGGCCTAAAGACATTTATCCCAGCCCAGACAACTCTTGGACATAAATTTGTTTACATTCAATTTAAAATCTTGGCCAATATATCACTGTATTTAATGGTAATCCTGCTCCATGAAGCTTTTCAACCTTTGCCTTTGAAGTTATATACTGAAATATGACTTAACAATTTCACATCCTGTTGTTTTTTCTTTCATCTTGAGAACATAGCATGACCTTTAACTGCACTGGCAATCCACACAAATGTACTTTGAGTAAATGCATTACTACACTCTGACACTTGAGTTACTAGGAAACAGCATGACAAATTGTCAAGCAGCTAGCTACAAAAGCTGAAAACTCAATCTTCCACAACATGACTTCACATCTAAACAAGAAAATTTACATCTTCTGTCAACTGTGAAAAATTATTCAGCTTGCACAAGGATTAAAATTCTGTTATCATAATAGCATCTGAACATACGGATCACATCTAAAGTGAATCTCTAATTTTCATATTACTGGAAAAAAAGCCTACAATTTATATCACTAAAGACTTATCAGATCACCTGGCTCTGTGCCTGTGAAACCAACACAAGATAGGGTTCATCGCTTACCACACCAGCAACTCCTTCAGGTTTCAACAGAAAGCTTACAATCTTCTTGTCATTTTTATCCAAAATCACCACTGGAAGACCCAGCTTCACAAAAGAAAGATCCCTCAAAGACTTCTCACTGGCCACCACAACTTTGAGTTTCCTTGAAACATATTTATCTCCTGTAGCACAACGTAAGACATCACAGAGTGTGCTTGTCTCCTCAATTGAGATCCATTTAGGTCCATAAAGAATCTTCTCTTGGCATGATACTCTCACACAGAACAAAAACATCACATCCAGATCACTCAGTACATGAGTTTTCCTCTCTAAGCAACCAAGTACATTCAGAAAAAAATCCTGAATTCAATTTTAAAGTACTGAATCCCTTTGTAGAGATCAGTAAAAAACAGCATTACAAATGGAGGCTGGTAGCTACTTCATTATAATTTAATACCATTTGTAAGGCAGTGATCAAGCAAGAAAATTTTAGTGAAGTCAAATCAAAATAAACAAGACATTTTCTGGATGTGTATTGATGTTTCTCTATCTTTGAAAGGCAAAAAAATTTTATAATTTTTTCAACAGATTGGTAGAAAAAGTACATGTCAAAATCTATACCAAATTTACATATCAGCTGATCTTTGAATGAATTAGAATTTGTCTTAGACAAATGAATCAGGAAATTTGAATTTCATCAATGTTTTGCACGTGAAATTGCTGATCAAAATTAGAAGCTTGTGGGAAAAAATCTTTTGACCACAAAGTAAGACATGCAGTAGCCTAATATTATGGTAGAATCTTTTTTTCCACCCTAAAATGTCACCAAACCATGCTCTCAGATGAGACTTTTGGCCTCTAAGCAAACAATAGCTTTACTTTAAGCCTTTCATATGCTAATTACCCATTTCTGACCCATAGCATTTCTCTATTGGTCCAACAGGGCATAAAGACTAGATCAGAGCATAAAAAAATACTCAAGAATGATAGATATGGCTTTAATTTGACCAAAATAAAACAGAATTTAGTTCCATGAAAGAGAGAGTGGCAAGACATAATTTAATTCTTTGTTCAGACTTGCTCTATAGAAGCTTTGATTCTTTCTGACTGTGGACACCAGTGACACCTGCATGTCTTACCATAACACCTGCTAGGGTAGCCAAGCCCTTGTCTTATGTAAACAAATCCCACAATTCACTACAGGTGGCTAAACCACAATTAAGCTACTAAATATATTGTTGTTATCCTCTCATACTGTATTCTTAGTGAATATAGGCTTTCATGCTGAAATAATTTAAATTCTCATGAAATTCAAATCTCAGGAAAAATGCAGTGAAAGGGGAAATGATACAGTCATTTCTGGTGTCAGTTTATTTACATTTAATAAATGAGGAGCAACCAACAAGATTAAGTGCGACTACTGTATCCTGCTATACACAAGTTGATTTACTGCTGTACATATAAAATGTCATTAACTGCATTATCTGGAGAGACATTAAAAAAAAATACAAAGAAAGAATTTGTTTCTCAATCACTTAGGAACATAAAATTGACAGAAATAAATGGCCACAGATTCTTCTTTGGTCACAAAATTAAAATTATACACTGTATGATCAAGACACATTTCAAAAGTCCAGTTGTCAAGAGACTATATATTGTTCAACAATACAAACTTTCAGCAGAAATCATACAAAGAAAAGTGTTCATCATCACATGCAGAATATTAACACCACTTTTAAGCTCCAAGTGTTAACTTACATATGACAGGAACAAAAAATTTGCATAAGATATATTCAATGTTTTGAACCAAAACATCAACACTTTAAGCATTTTAGCCTCAAAAAATAAAACAAAAATTAAAACAGTCTATCATTCAGCAAAAGTTGTGCAGCTCTGTTCCATAACATTACAATTACTAAGGAAAAACCTGGATTTAAAATCAATAGAAGAAAACATTCAATCATGATTTCTGAGACAAGAAAATTTGCCAGGCAGTGCTTCTGCACTAAGATGGAATTGAGTTAAGTTTGTTGGCAGATGAACATTTACAGTGTGTATTAAGTGATAATTTATTTTACCTGACGCTGTACAACTGGATAACAGCAGGGGCAGAATATTGCTGCACATGAATAGGGACAGACGTACGGTACATTTTGTTCCCCATAATTTACTGTTGTGCTGGAAATGGTGTCTGAAAAACACACCAAATAAATCTTCTCTTCCTCAAACCTCTGCATAGTGCAGTGAATTCAACCTTCATTTCAGAGAAACTTTCCGACTAGAAAGGCAGATGGCAATTCAATAAAAAATTTGCAATAAAATTTCACAACAAAGCAACCGAAATCCTACCAGATCTGGCAGCAATTTGCATATTAATGTACTGGAAGTAATTTCTGAGTAATACAGGTCAGGTATACAGCCAATAATCTTGTTTCATTTTTAATGAATTATTCAATGTATAGCTTTAACCACAAAAAGTTTTGTGAATAAAATTAAATGTGAATCGGATGAATAAATTAGTCTGGTTCTTAAAAGCTCAATTACCGGGGAGAAATTTCCCTTTTTTCCTTTTCTAAACCATTTAGTTGTGGTTTTATGGAAAGTGGTCTTCTTCTTTGAATATTTTTGGCTCAATAAAAACCAAATTTAAAATGAAGTTTGGTTTTATTTTAAGAAGAAGCACTTCTTTAATGAAACAATGTAAGGTACATATTTGTTAATCTTAAAATATCAAAATCATCTCTTCTGCACAGAATTTTAGGTTACTTTCATGAAACACAAACGAACTTTTTAATGGTTCCAAAAACAATTTTAAATCAGTTATGGCAAGTACGGATTATTTGTACAAGAAACACAAATTGACCAACTTCGAAACTTCTGAAATCCAAAAAAATTTGTGACATCATTCAATAACTTTCAAACACCATTTCTTGTGTATTAAGAGGAGCAAGCAAGTGTATGAAAAAAACTGCTATCAATGATAACAAACCTAAAAATCTTGATGTGCAAGGTTTATAGTGGTCAGAACACCTTTTAAAAGGAATTTGGAAAGAAACAAAGCAAAAGAGTACATTTGCACTCTATTGTGAATCAAATATCAGCGATGATGTGACTACATTACTTACAATGCGGCAATAATTAGAAATTATATTGTGTAGTAATTTATTACAGATTAATGACATACATCCAAAGCATTGCATCCAATTGGGAATTTCAAATTAGAACCCAAATGCAAAGTATGATTTATGAGGTCTGACCATGAAAATTCGTGAGAATTAAGAAATGACTTATAACCAAATTTTAACTGATCCTGGATAATTCTCCTACAGTAATAACATTTCAAAGACTATCATAATATAGGAATTAATGACTGTAGGATTCAAGTTACTTGCTGATAAACTCACCATCCTCAACCCAATTTATTGGAGTCACATACCAAATAACAGAATACAATGACCAGGGGAAATTTATAAAACTCTTTTGAGTCTAGCTACCAAGCCCAGACTACTAAAATAAGTTGATATATGCATCTCCCACACTGCTTGGGCATTATGTCAGTTCATAAAGTGAAAAATGGCTGGCTTTTTTTTTTCCAATTAATTTTGGGGCATATTTAAAGGATGGTTAATATTCAGAGGTTTAATTTCCTTCGAAAGGTAATTGTATGGCAAGGTTTAATTGTGATTTGTACTGCTATTGTAGTTATAAAGGATATCATATCCAAAACGAATGTTGTCTCTTAGCTTCAAGTCAATTGGATGCTGTTTTACTCTTGAATCATTTACAAACGTCTGTAAGGAAAACAAGAGCAAGAAACTTTTACAGTAACTGTTCTTTGTGTAGAAAGGCATTTTGTTTATTGCTAACTATTTGCCATTGATGTAAAATCATTAAATCAGAATTTTTCCTCATAATATCCATACAATACCAAGCAGACAAGTGATGAGAATTAAGAAAAATAGCAATTATGGGATTATTCATTGATCCAATACCAAATTCCCTGAACCAACATCTTAAAAATTATATGCCACACGGTAAGGAGAATTACTAAATGAGATCTTAGGTTGGAAGGGTAAATAATTTATGGGTGAGGGGTGGATGCTTACTCAAGGTAAAATGGCCACTTAATGGAACAAATATTAATAAGAAGCATTTAGGACCTCATATACTTACACCATTCAAAGTTCCAAGGTCATGTAACTTGTACTCTTTGTTCTGCGTATTCACTGTGATCACAGCATGCTGCTTATCCACACTTCTTGACTGAAACAAAAATGTTTGGTGTTACCAACAAAAATTACATTATTAGACAAATATAATCAGAACCTAAAGCAAGAAAAGGAATGCCATGGAAACCTCTTCACTGTCAGAAAGATCTTTGAAACTTGATCAGTAAAAACTAAACCCACCATCTTCAGTTAAAGTTATAGAATAATTATTATCATAAATAAGGAAAGGAAGGGAAATTCAGTCAGCATAATGGAATAATCTACTTTTGATTACAACAACTGACATTCCATTTGAATTCCATTACCATATGTTTGCAGTATAATTTAATGAGATTCAGAATCCATCAAAATACATACTGAACTTTTCTCAAATTTTTCATGAAACTTTGCAGAGCGATATAACAAGCAGTTTTGTAGCTAAGGAAGTAGTCTGCCACTTAAGCCATTATTACCCTATAATATCTGAGAGTGACTAGCATTCAATTTCTCCTTTCAATATCATCCCTGAATCAAGCATTAAGGGCATGAGAATAAAGGAAATGATGATCAACTGAACAAATTCTTGATTGTTGAACAAATTCTCCTTGCCAGCACATTAGGAAATGTATAAAGAACAGTATAGAGAATATGCATGTTGATGTTAGGGTGTAAAGGGTTAACTCCCTCTAATATTCATACATTGTCCAGCAAACTGGTAATGAGAGTACTCAAATTTATCAGGTTGGAGTTATCTTGATTGAAATACAAATTCTCATAACTACTTTATAAGGAAATGTGAAGCAGTTAGAGGGGAGAAGTAATAATCAGATCTTGGGAGTTAAAGAATAGAAAAGAGCTGGCCTAATAAGAGACCTGGTAACAAAATTTTGCTCCCAATCTTTTGCAATTCCTTCTCAGTAAGGCTTCAAAGCTTCGTGTTTGCATGATGGTGACTGCCAGGTATAGAAAGAAGACACCACAAAATAGTATGGTTTGCCAGTTGTCACCAGCAAAAATCTAGCTGCAATCACGAATTTCTCAGCTGGCACTTTTAGCCAGCAGCCAGCGCTTAGCAACAACCCTGAACATGCAAAATGGGGGGTTACCGAGCTCATTTCTGTAGAACAACACAGATTAATATCTTGGATTCTCAACTGGAAAACCTCTTTCACACCCACTTCTGAAATGTTCCGCATTAGTAACAATCTTTAAATTAAATCTCAAGGGGCTTAAAACATCTCAAGTTTTCACACCTTCAAAGAGCGTTAATCAATCAAAATCTTTGAAAGCACGGAACTTGCTCAGACATTAAATGTATGACAAGAATAACAAAATATTATTTGCGCTCAGTTTTCAGCAAATAATGGGTGAAATACTGCAAATAAATAGCATATCAACATACGAAAAAAAAATGCTATGGATTTCAATTCAGCGCACATTAAACGACTGATGTTTTCCAGCGTTCTCAATCAACGCAGCTGAAAACTGACAACTTATGAGGTATGATTTTATTTCACGGATGAAAGAAAAGTAATCTCACCTTCAGCGTCAAATCCATCTGATCATCCCTTCCCACAAAAAAATTTGGCTCACATAGCTTGTGCAGTGTGCCATCAGGACTCAGAAGGCCCCACTCACCAGCTGTATTCATCGTTAGCAACAAAAAAAAGCTAAACTACCTGAATCAGCAAAAAGAGACTCACGGGTCCATGTGAAAGAAATTCCTCTAGCGGTAAGCGGAGGGCTACGCTTTAAGTGCATTTGGTTTTTAGCATTTGAATTTACTTCTCCTCAGGTAGTCTTTTGAGTGAAGAATA